TAGTCAGCAAGTCAAAACATCTAGTCAGCAATTCAAAACATGTAGTCAGCAAGTCAAAAAATGTAGTCAGCAAGTCAAAAAATTTAGTCAGCAAGTCAAAACATCTAGTCAGCAAGTCAAAACATGTAGTCAGCAAGTCAAAACATTTAGTCAGCAAGTCAAAACATTTAGTCAGCAAGTCAAAAGCTTAGATATATTGGATACCATGAGTATATCGTAAAATTTAGTTTATTGAGTTATAGCATAGATGAAGTAATATAATTATATAATAATTAAATTATATAATTATAAATTATAATAATGAATAATAAATAATAAATAATAAATAATAAATAATAAATAATAAATAATAAATAATAAATAATAAATAATAAATAATAAATAATAAATAATAAATAATAAATAATAAATAATAAATAATAAATAATAAATAATAAATAATAAATAATAAATAATAAATAATAAATAATAAACAATAAACAATAAACAATAAATAATAAATAATAAATTATAAATAAAAAATAATAAATAATAAATAATAAATAATAAATTATAAATAATAAATAAATAAATAATAAATAATTAATATATAATTATATATAATTATATATAATTATAATTATATTACTTCATCTATGGTTATAGTGAGAAATCTGAGGATTTTATCTACTCGAAAGTGGATAGAATAACTGATAAACGTATTTGGTTAACTATTTTTTAGTGGACGAGTAAGTTTGTGTAATATAATTGGAGGGAGTAGCTAAAAATGAATCTGTTTTATATGGCTTAACTAGTAGTAAGATTGGTTGTTTGAATGGAGCGAGAACTTCTGATCTAGAGAGCCAGGTTCAAATACCTTTATTGAAAATTTATTTTAGTTATGTGAAATGCAACAACGTGGTTTAAAACCTTCTTTAAACTGTGATTACATTGATCAAAAAGGGCTTATAATGGAAAGAATTACCTCCATTAAATCCCTACAAGGATTATTTACTTCATTATTAGGATTAAGATCATTGTCAATGGTGAACTTTTTTGTATTTTTTTAACTATACACAAAACTTATACACGATACATCCAGTCAAATATGTTGAATCACATTCGGCTTTGTAGAACATCCATCAAAGTGACAATAGTGAAACAGAGATCCGTCAATGAGCCTTTCCATACTGTCTTGCTAGTGAATTTGAAGTTGTGTAGCTGTAGCAAATTTGGTGGTAAATATACCTTTGTGAATACGATTATATAATGTGTAAATTATTTATCTTGATTGTGTAGCTATATCCCATGGATAAGATAATGAGCTGTAGAGATGGACTAAACTTAGGGGTTTATTAATTTTTAAGGACATTTATTTATCAAATTTAGGTAAATTAATGAATCTAACTCTTGAAAAAATTTTGATTCTGATTCTAAGTGTTATTTTAGAACTAAACACGAGTATAGTAACGCAAAGAGTCTGTATGGAATGTTAGCGACTTTAAACCAGGTAGTGACAGTTAACATTGCAAAACTGATAGTATTAAGTTGTAATGCAATGCACTTTGCAATAAACAATGGGTATTGATATTCAATACACTTCATTCAACTAATAGTCTAGTAAAAAAAAGGTTTAACCTCAGACAAAAAACCGAAAGTTTTGAAACTTTGCACAGTTATTCCTAGGTACATAGGAAAGACTATACCAAAAGTCCCTATAAATATGAGGCGAGCTCTAGCGACAATTAGCGGAAACATGGAACCGTTTATTGTTTTTGGCAAAAATCTAGAGAACCGTTGGTTGGAGTTAAGAGTGACTGTATATCAAATGAAAGATAATTAAATTTTCAAGAAAAGTTACTTTTACGCTTTTATTTTATTCCAAATGGTTACCGAGTCATAGGGCGCTTAAATATTGATTTTTTTCTCAAACTGTCGGGGTGTGAATAATGGTGCAAACAATAATTGTACAGACAGTTTGATAAAAAAATTCCACATTTTAGCGCCCTATAACTCGGTAACCATTAAGAACAAAATAAAAGTGTAAGTATAATTTTTTTTCGAAATTATATATTCTTTCATTTAATATATGGTCATTTTTAGCTCCGACAAACGTCTCCTCAAGAATTTAGCAAAAAACAAAATAATGGACCCTGTTTTCGCTAATTGCCACTGGAGCTCGCCTCATATTCATGGGGAGTTTTGGTACAATCTTCTTTAGGTACTTTGAAATATGTGTGCAAAGTTTCAAAACTTTCGGATTTTTTTGGAAGTTGGGTCATTAATTTATATATTTTGGCTTGCTTATAAACCATGTTTGCACGTTATAATCGCGTTGGATCAGATGTTTTAAAGGAACACGAGGTAAATATTCAAAACAAAAATCTTACAACACTTACATAACCCTGTGATTAAAGTTTCAGAATTAATTACAATGATTAAGATACATCTACAGCTATTGTATAAAAGAAACAACAAGCAAAAAAATACTTACAATTAGGCCTAGTTATCTTTGTGTTGAGTGATCATGGTAAAGTTATATTATTAAATTATTCAGACCTATTGACAGTTAAGTATAAAATAAATATCAAGCAGTCTGGATTACAATGGGATAACATTATGTGGAGTGATAAATGTAATGTTACATTACAATGATTTAAAGATTGGCTAACTCCCAAAGAATTCACCTTTGCGATACTATATTATTTTACTTACAAAGGTCTTTGAATTTATAGAGCCATACAGCAACTTTATTTTATAAAATATAAATACAACATTTAATAAGGTTTCTCTTCGTAAAATGGAAATTGAAAAACCAAATGTTTGTGCACGACAAGCTTATTTTTGCTAACGGAGGAACATTTAAATTCTCAACAGAATTACCAAGCTCGGGCTGGAATCCAGCTTTTGTTTTATATTAACAAAACTTACACGCTTTAGCTTATAGCGACTGTCTAAGGGGAGTTGAGCTAATTTAACAGCTAGGTTTTAGCCTAAGGCTGATACATGATTAATTTAGTTTCCTTCATGGTATTTTAATGGGTCTGTCCAATGAAGCAAGCTTTTTATGGAATATACCAACCAACCGATGTGATAATAATACTTAAGGAAATACATTTTAGTCAAAAACAATGTACAGTGTTGTTGTGATTTAAATACTATTTCACTATAATATATGAGGATTGTTGTTTGACCTAAAGTTAGTTTTGTCTAATAATGTCTCTTTGATAAAGGATGAGGATTTAAATGCAGCCGTTTCCTCTTATACATTATTTGTTTAAGTGGAAATCTGGTTCTTCATAATCCGCTATCTATAAAAACACAAAAATAAATAAAAAATTAATAAGGATTAGGTAGAAGCGCAAGTAAAAAAAAATATTTTTTGATTTATTTATAAATGAACATTAGAAATATAAAAATAAATATCATGTAGTTACTAAAAATAAAATTTAGGACCACCATTATTTAAACTGTGGAAAATTCACAGTTTAGGTTAGGTTAGATTATAGCTTTAATCAAAGGTTTATTTTATTTACTGAACAGAAAATAATCAGAAATAATCACAAAAAATAAAAATATTACCTAACCTAAACTTCAACTTTTCCACAGTTTACATAGTGGCCACCCTCTTCTGAAGATAGATCCAACAACGATTATTTACTTATATACATTCTGAGGATTTTACTAAGTGAAATAACATTTTTAGTGATTTATTCGGCTAAATAACCAATTTACACATTATGTATAAAATATCATATAAAACAGATAAATTTGTATCTTTAATTGTAAGAACTGTTGGTTGTTGGCGTGTAGAGTTTACAAATAGTGCCCAAAACGTCATTCTATTTAGTAATGTTCTTATTTGCAAAGAGACAGAACAGAGGTATTGTAAGTCTTGAGGAGCCAATACAAAGGGGTGATCAATCACTGATAGACATTGCCAGGTCCTTTGTTGGTCACTTGCAGATCTCTGTCTTAACATCTCATCGCATTCCTCCAAAGATCTCTGCTTTACACCGGGTTTACGAGACAAGAATACATTAAGGACAAAACAAGTAAACAACTTTAACGGATTCACGAAAACGATAAAGTTACAACAATTGTTTGTGAAAGAAGGTGCATTTGTGATTCTGTATTTAATTTTTTAGCTTGGGTATTTAAAAAAGTGTTTTTGAGTTAACGAGAAATATTTTTCAAGAAACTCAGTACATTCAAAGTATAAATGATAAATAGCATTTATTAACAGAAACAAATCCAAAACTGGAACGAATCAGTTCTGATGGTCAAGTTGCCTATCAGTTGTGGTTGTCTTAACTGGTCAGTAATCAAGTAAACCTGATTGGGGTACATTCCAATAAAAACTATGGAATTTCCTACCATGTTTTCTTGCAACAAAATAAAATGACTCTAGGTATGAAAAGTTACTTTTGTCATTTTATTTCCTATGTAGTCCTAAAAACAAGATCAGTTTTTAAAAAACTATAAGATATTTACAAGAATAGTTGATTATATAGAACTGTCATGTAGATCGTGAGTATTTCCATAATCTTAGAGTCGACTTATCGGAAATTAAGATTGTTATTTGTTTTAAAATAACGCCTGTAACACTTCGCAATTACTCGAATTCGAGCAACAGGTACATTAGTTATAATTACTTTATGGCAAATAGGGCATCCCAGTGTGTAAATATTCGTATATGTTGTATATATAGTCCCAGGGTGTAAATAAATAGAACAAATTATTAAATCTTAATAGCTTTACATTGTATAGACATTTACAGTGTTATAAAGTTTGTTATACATTTTTTTTAATATTGATCTTTGAGTTGTGTTGTTTGTTTTTGCAAGACTAAAATTATGTCCAGTTTCTTAAGGCTGGAAAACTACTATGATTAAAAACTACAAAATAATATTAATAGCCAAGCAAGGGATTGCTATAAACTACGATTAAAAACAATTGATCACATTTATAGGAAATTATAGTATATTTAACCTAGGATACTTTAATTTAAACACACTTACCAATCGCTGATATTCTTCTGTCATTTTCTGACCATTCCGAGAACTGAAAATATAAAATTAAATTAGAGAATCATAAAAAAATTAAATACATGAGACTAAACAATAATTTAAAATATGTTCTCGTTATAAAGTGTTACCGTACGGTACCGTATCATTACTTTGAATTTTAATGTATATATAGGGTATTGAAGAAGAAAAACTTCACATGAGATTTTAGGAGAAAGATGTTAATACGAATGCAGATCTCCTTGCCGGGGAAAACTCTATTGTCATCTGTTGGATCGACCTACAGCTTAAGATAGATTCCGAACCACTGAGTTACATCATGTTTATATAAATTGGCACTAGCGCTTCGAATGATTTAAACATGAATCTCTCTAGCATGAAGTCTTACAATAGAATATGAAATATTTGCTAATAGATTTGGACTGGTATGAAAAAGTTTAGTTTCAGAAGATAATTATTCATTAATTAACAACGTGATGAAAAATTGTATTTGGTAACGTTTTCACTTGGGATCGAACTAGCAGCCTCCAGATTTAAAGGTCAACACTTAACCACTCGGCTACCCAGACAGTTTTAAAAATTACAAGCAACACACAAAACATGTACATCAATACTAAACAGAATCTTTCAGAACATTGTCAATTCTAACTAATAATTGTGTTTAAAATACTGTCACAAACATCAGTATAAAAATCATCTTCTCTCTTTCTACTGAAAATTCAAGTTTAAAACACTTATAAATATTTGATTACTATACAAACAACCTCGTCTTCATAATGTGAGGAATTCGTTTAGAATGAATGAAATAGCGGTGATATTTCTCCGGAACGTTCGCGAAACATTAAATGCGGGAGACAGAATAAATGTATGAGATCGGGGGAGCCTCGTGCGGGGCCAAGAACCTCGTGGTCAGGGGACATTTTGGGGGAGGTATTGACAAAACAGACCATGGGGGCCCGGGATGCGTCTGGGGGGAGCAACGTGGCAACATCCCGACGACAAAAGTATCTGAAACATCCCTCTCATATAATAAACACTCGCACACTATTGGTATTTCAAGCAATTTATTTTACTTTTTCATTGCATAAAATGTGGGAGATTACTACCTTTGGCTATTGATACAACTAAATATTCCATTCCCATGTTTATGTTGTCGACAGTTTTTTTATCTAATAGTTGTAGTTGATGTGAGCCACCGACCGATTGCGCTGATATAAATTAAGTTATGTCGAATACACGATGGTTTTTACCAAGTAAAACAGATGGAACGACTTATTATGTTCTATAGAAACTGTTATGACCCATAAACTATGTGAGCAACAGAAAATCGAATTTTATACACTAGCGCATTCTGTGACTGACTCATACAACTACATTCTATTTAGTAAAAGATTTGCTACTGCAGGTCCATAAAGATAGGATGTCTACTTCAGTATCCAATAGTCAATGTTACTACTATTTGCATTATAATGCAATGTGCATGATATTATTATAAAAAGTTGCAGTGATATCAATGTAAATGTTAGTAGGACCTGCTGAAAATTACATACATACATTTCTACATACATTTTCTAGTTGCAATCATGTTAAGCTTTCAATAGGCACCCAACATTATACATAAATTTTATTTATTTTATACATAGTTTAAGGCTGGCTCTATCAAAGGATCTTATGAGTCGAAAACTCTCCACATTCAAACCATGCGATAATCAAAGATTGTTTACTTAAACAATTATTGTAACGAGTTTTGTTTAGTCTAGAAACAAGAACTTGTATTAAACACCGTTTTAAATGTTATACTCTGTCAACTAGTGAACAAAGTAGACCGCAAAACCTATTAAATATGTGTTGCTGACAGCTGATATATAGAGAAGACGTAATCAATAAGTCTGATATGCGATATCCGATATACACGAAGGTATTGAAGGGGATTGTCGGCGAATTGATGAGTTTGCTGCTACAGATCCAATGTATATTGCTAAGATTTGGCGTGTTTTCTCTTAAAGCTTTCTACTGAACAAATAAATGGCAACACTACTGTAATGATGGTTCGCTGAAGTACCTATAAAGTTGTTTTACATTTTAATATTGTTGAGATATACGTTATTATGTGTTGTTCTATCCAGATGACAGATAGTATTTATAATCACACTTTCCGGTGTTATAGGAGTGTTACGTTTTAATTTGTTTAAATGTAATGCTTTATTAAGCTGGTCAACAAAATTTGAATAGTATTATACATACGATGTTTATTTAATACAGATTTTATGACCTTGAGAATAATTGCTTGACAAATTTGCTCTCCCTTTTAACATTTTGTTATTTAATTAAAACTAAAATTATATTGTTTTATTAAGAACATGAATATAAAATAATACATTTGAATCGGTAGCGGTTCCAATGTTAAATAATAGGAGAAGGTCTATAAAAAATAGTTGTACACCTTTAACGATGGTAAATCAATGGAAACGTTTATTATTGGACAATGGTAACTCCAAATCTTTGGCAATATCCGACTCGAGGGACCAAAAAAAGTCAATTAGTTTCTTTGAAATTATCATGTATGAACAATTCCTTTGCTCAATTCCACACGGATCCACGATTCATAATTTAATTTTGTTATAGTTAGATAAGATAAAAACCATATATATTAAACATTTGATACCAGTAATTGAAAGTCTAAGATGACGATGTGAACTGTGTCCCGCTTTTCTGACAAACACTTGTGCTACAAAACCAAAAACGTTTACAGGGGCGTCGGTTCTAGAATTATTTCCCGATGTGCTTAATAAATAAAACTTGTATGTTGCCAGAATGAATTTAGAAGTAATATTCACTGAACTGTGCAAATAACAACAAATTAAAATACGATATCCCCTTATAATTTATACAAAACCCGTACATAAATTTAGCAGTAGAACAAAAAGCAGATTGGCATTTCCTATATACTTATATTTACAATTTACAAAACTAAGTGGCATCCAGAAATCCTTAAAACATATTCAATCACTAGCATAGCATAACACGACAAAAATATGATAGGCTATATTAAGTAGTGTCAATTGTATAAATCAACTTACAACGAATAATTGGTTCCTAAAGATTGTGAGGAAAACCCTTTGGACCTGGTTGAAATCCATCCAACACTATAGCTGGGATCAGAATGACTACAGAGCTGGTAGATAGCAATTACAGATAAAACCATGACACAACCACTACATTAGCGGTATTAAATCATTCAATTTTCATACCTGCATGTCCATTATTTAGAGCCCTTGCAATAATTTAAACACTAATAGTTACCATTGATATTTTGTACTTGGGATGCAGCTAGTGTAATATAAGGGTGTATATAGTATATATGTATAAGGGCGTGGGACCAGGATCAATTCCCGCTAATCATAAATGACGTAAATATGTGCAATAATGCAGACCCTTGATGGTCTAAAATAGTCTCCCGGACAAACCTCAAGCAGTAATACTTTTCTAATTACATTTGAGGTTTCAGTATTGTTATTTATTTGACCTACGGCCGTTTTTTTAAAGTAGCCGTTTCAGTTCTGTTCTTAGAATTGAAAAGTTTTACATAACAATTGTTTACTTACATAAAAGCATAGTAGTTTTACTTTACAACACACAATGGGCCAATGAGGTTCAAGGATTGAGAGAAAAGAAGTAAAACTGTAATGATTCGAACTTCAACTAATCAGCTGTTTAGGCCAATTTAATTGTTAATGTGAGGTGCCTTAGTGTTTGGTACAATGATTCGTTGCATCACTGTCAGTGGCACTGAGAGTTTATAAAAGAAAACATAACCTCTCTTAGAAGTTATGAGTAGTGAGTTTCAGTAATTAAAACATTGTCGTAGATAAAGTAGTGTACGCAACTCGCGTAAATAGTCTTAACGAAACTCGTAGAAGTTTTTAAGGCACTCGCCAAGGCTCGGCTTAAATTTTCTACTCGTGTCGTTAAGGTTATCTTTACGCGATCGTTGCGTAAACTACTTATTACATAACCAGTAGATTATTATAGGATAATCTTTTACAAATTTTGGAAAATGCTCTAAAATATGTTGAGGATCTTGGAGACTTTACTACTGTTCAGATTTTATAGTTTAATATAATTTGTTAACATACTTAGAGAAATAATACATGGGAAATTTAAGGGGTTTTTGTAACGCAATAAGTAAAATTACTAAAAGATTTTTAAAATAATAAGATTATGTTAGATTAAACACAGGTGTAAAAATGAAGAAGTTAATATTTCGAAAATTAATTAGTATTGTTACGGACCTAAGTTATTGATTGAAGTGGAAGTCACAATGGACAGCCGAAACTGTTGTTGGTTAACCAAACAATGCACAACTTCGGTTTGATGTGTGTTAGTTTTGATTAAGGAACTTCCAGCCCAGCCTATCAATGCTTCTCTCTAGTTAGTTGTAAATAGTCAATGAACTGAAAAGTTTCGTAAGAGTATCAATTCTTTAGAAAGTTTAGAAGAATAGGATTAATCCAAGTATAAATATTTACAGCTTTCGGAATTTTGTATTTGGATACCAATAAGTTTTTGCGAACACCTTTGACTAAAAACAAACAATTTTGAGATAGACACTTCAGTTCTACTGTTGAAATTGTAGGTACAACAGTTCTAGCCTACATACAGTATGATCGTATTTAAATACATCCTTTTACAGAATGTGATTTCAATACTAATTTGTTCAGAGGCACAAACTGAAAATACAACTTATCGAATAGCATATTTCATATATTACCTAAGCTATTGTAGCTTCAAAAGTTATAAAAGAAAATTTTACTTTAACAGTGGTCCACTCTAAGATTTTGCACTGTTCAACGTGTTCTATTCAAATATATAGCAACAAATGATACACATGGAAAAGTGTTTTTTTTTTTTTTTTTTTTTTTTTTTTTTTTTTTTTTTAGGGAGAGGAGGCAAAATGCTTTTACGCACACAGGTAGCCAGCCTGTAGTGTGAGACTCCTGAAAATTGTCAGACTACTCACTAAAAAACCCCCTCTAC